GATAGGGAAATACTGCAGGAGTAAGTGGTCTGGAGGCAGAGCCCCAGAAAGAGGTTAGATTAGGATATTTCATATTATATACACCATCTCCAATAGTGGTAGTTTCAATCAATTGCCATGGCCCCATACCCCATAAAGGACAACAAACATATGTCATGTATATTTGAATGACTTCATGAAATAAAATAATTGTGACGTCGTCATCTTCTATATACAGTATTTTTGGTTGCAACAGGAATACCCACTATTGTATAGCGTGCATGTTATAATAGAAAAATAACCACTCTCATGATGTGATTTCTTAGTGGAATGTATTATATTAGCCCCTTGTTTTTAGGTGATAGTACCAAAAGTGAAGGTAAACTTTCAATATTTTCATATTCTTAAAAATCATATCAAAATCAAAGTTTTTAGGTGCCAGATGTTGCTCGCAAACTACCACAAACTACCACTGTCAGTGTGTGCCAACAACCCCACGATCATGTCCACTTGCTAATCTTTTTTGTCTGGGGTTATTAGGTTAACCCACTGGTACATTACTAGTTTTATTTTAATGAATCTGTGTACACATAGAGGGCTCCACAAGTGTATATTATTCATTGAATATAAGGGAAAAAAGAAAATTGCTATTATCAAGAATGGAAATGGTAAACAAATGAAATTAGATAGGCATGGTGATTAAATCCTTGATGAATAAGCAATTCTGAAACCATCTTTGAACAAAGAAATGAACTATGATTGCAGTGGACTTTGCATGTGCTAACATATCCTCCAAACATCAGGGTCCATTTTGGTTTGAAGGATATTCATTATTTCTTTGACTTTTAGCAGCAATGTATAATCTGCTTCAATGTATAATCCCTGTTTTGCATTAACTGGGTTTTCTTAAATGTTAGATTAGAAAAAAGTGGTAACTAATTGTGGAAGTACATATATTGTAGTAAAGGCAGATTTATGAGGTACTTTTTTCTGTAATGCCTTTTGCTACATAATGGCCAGTATTGGTTTAAGATACATGCACATTGAAAGTATTGATAAGCATATTATATTTTAGTAATTCTCTTTACACAAATAGTACAAATTTTCATTATGAGCTGAGCCTGTTTTTATCCCACACTTGTATAAGTCCCAAGGTATTAGAGCAAAGGGGAAGGGAGGATCATATTCTTTGGGAATAATGCAAGTTTCTTTGTATGGTTGCCAAAGCAGCTAGATTCAAGAAATCTGAAAGAATGCTTTATCTGAACAAACATGCAGGTTTGCATATTTGTTGCAAGTCCAGTTATATTCATTGTCTTGAAAGTAAGGGTATGAGGATGTATTGAAGTGCATGTAATACATGGTGTGGGAGCTATCCAAACCCATGAGAACAAGAACAATCATTTAGTCATTTTGTAGATCTATACAGTACCTAGTGCTTGCTACTAGTGAATATCTAGCACTTGTGGGGATAATGCAGAGTAAGAGAGATAGCCTTAACCCACTTACGACAGGTGTCCTACATATGAGACACCCAGAAAAAAAAAATTGCCAGGCGTCCCACCAGTGAGACGCCGTATTGGGGCCCACACTCCGACTCAGATGCGGGCCGTGGCTGGTGCGTGGGCAGAGTCTGGGTCAGCCCTGTGTCAATTTTGTAGCCGCCCAGAAACTTTTATTTTCGGCTTCAAAATATACCGGAGGTAATGAGTTAAAATGTAGTGATGTATGATCATTATTTTTGTTGTGCTTTCATGCTTCTTTCTATAACCTTTTTTAATCTGTACTTCAGGCCATGAAGTCGTGATTGTAAAAAATGGCATCAGGATCTGTGGAACAGGTGGAGCATTGGGTAACATACCAATCCTACAGAACAAAGCGTATTTCGAAGTGAAGCTCCAGCAGTCAGGTATGTGAACATCATTAGTTGGTGGACATACTAATAATTACTTTGTGTTGGTACTTTGTGATAAAGTGATATGCCTAGGAAGTTGCAAAGGATTATTTGTATGGTAAAGATCTTGAATTATTTATGAGTGAAAATGTATATGCATGTTGCCACTCATGTTATTGTAGTATATGATTTGCAATATCAAAAAGGTAAAAGTTTTATTTTCCAGAAAAACAGGTACTCCTGAATAAACATTTTGCATACAAACTTTTTGTTTTGCATAGAGTAACAAAATATAGAATACATAACAAAACTTTAGCATTTGAAAATCCTAACTGATATGAAGCTGATAGGAAAGTTGCCATCCATAACCTGATAAAAGCCAAGTTAAACTAATTTTATCTTTCAGGGGTGTGGGGTATAGGAATCGCAACGAGGAATGCCAATCTCAATAAGGTGCCCCTAGGAGAGGACTCACAATCATGGGTCTTGTGTTCTGATGGCTGTGTGCGACACAATGGTGAGGAGAAGTACAAAATTGCTGATATTCCTCAGGAAGGAGATATTCTGGTAAGTTTAATTCATCAGTGCAGCATAGAGTTGTCAATGGTTTGACTGTTTTGATTGATACCAGGAGCATGTAGTTTCCACAGTGATGTTGTTTTTGTCTTATACATGACCTAACCTGTTGCACATTATTATTGTTATTTGAATTAGTATGTAGGTAATGATAGTAATAATGATTATTGTAGTTATTGCTGATATTTTTAGTATCATTATTATGATGATAACATTAATAATAGTAATTAGTCCCACATAGATAAAAGAATGAGATACATATGTTAGGGAGGCCTAGTAATGAATTACTTAGTGGTGAAGTGCATAATGATAATAATGATAACTAGAGGCACTCAGAGAGCATATACCTCCGCCAAGGTAATAGGGTCACTTATGCAATAAAAATATTCTCACTTGAAGAATTATATTAAGATAACCTCTTTCTCAAGTACACTGGTAATGTTTTTGTTTCCCTATCTTGTGATGCTAATGAATTCTTTTAAGATTTCCTAGATCCGGGTCATGATCCAGATCACAACCAAAATATAATGGCATTGAAGTTAGGCTAAGACACACATCTGGTAAAGATACTATAATAATATGTAAATAACTTTTTGAGTTATCCTCACAGGATTAGGATCATGATCCGGATCACCATTAAGATTTAATGGCATCTACGTTAAGGCTAAGAAATGCCTCTGGTAAAAATGTCATAAAAATCTGTTCATGACTTTTTGAGTTATCCTGCTAACCAACTAACCAACAGACAGATTTACTAATCAATACTACCAAAAACATAACCTCCTTGATGGAGGTAGCTAGAAGTGCATATCTAAATTTGATATTGATGGTTTTCCAACCCCTGCCCCTCCTTTGACCATGGCTCCAATCACTGATACTAATACCCCCTCGATGCTTACTGACAACTGTCCATTCCAAAACACCCACTCAGGTTATTACTCAACCTCCAGAAAGCACCTCTTCGTCTCGCCCAACATTCTCCTCTCCATCTCCTACTGTGCAGTCCTCTTCAATATCTACCCCCTCTTCCCTTATTACTACTCTTTATCCTTATTGTCCTCCTTCCCATGGAACTACTCCACTCCATACCACCCAATCTTCCTCTTGCCCTCGTCCTTCCACTACCTCAGCCTCTGCAAATCTTTTGAGTACTCTCTTTGGCCCAGCCAAGTATGATTGATTCTTTGTGATTCCCCCCACATAATGAGAATACCCTTCAGCAGTGCCTCCAAAAGCAAGTAGACAAAGTTACCTTTTGCATTTGCTGCAGTCATTCACGCCTTGTCACATCTCTCTCTCTCTCTCTCTCTCTCTNGGAAAGGAATGCGATGGGAATGAATAAAGGCCGCATTGGTTGACGTTGATGCGTTGTGCAGATTTTGGCGCGTGTGATATGGGGTTGTGACTTGGAGGAGGATGGAGGAAGGAGGGAGACTCAGAGCAGAAAAAGTAGGAGAAACGAGGGTGGAAATAGAACAGCTGGGGAAGCCGGATTCGGGACCAGGAAGGAAGTGGTCATTGGTTGTTTCTGTGTGTGTGTGTTTTTTGTTTTGTTTTTCCTTTCTCTCTTCCTGCTTCTCCTTCTTCCTTCTCTCTTTCTCTTCCTCTGTTCTCCTCTCTCTCTTTCTCATGCTCTTCCTTCTTCTCTCTCTCTCTCTCTCTCTCTCTCTCTCTCTCTCTCTCTCTCTCTCTCTCTCTCTCTCTCTCTCTCTCTCTCTCTCTCTCTCTCTCTCTCCTCTCTCTTCTCTCTCTCTCTCTCTCTCCCTCTCTCTCTCTCCCTCCTCTCTCTCTCTCCCCCTCTCTCTCTCCCCCTCTCTCTCCCCCCTCTCTCTCTCTCCCTCTCTCCCTCTCTCTCTCCCTCTCTCCCCTCCTCTCTTCTCTCTCTCCTCCCTCTCTCCCTCTTTTCCCCTCCCTCCCTCTCCTTCTCCTTCTCCCTCTCCCTCTCTCCCTCTCTCTCCCTGTTTGTGTTTTATCGCCGTCTTCTGCTTCTTCTTCTCCATGCTTTTCTTTGTTTGTTTCAGATTTTTCTTTTCATCGTCCTCATTTTTCTTCATTTATTTTTCTTTGTTGTTTTATTATCCTTTCCTTTTCTCCTTCCATTTCCTTCATCATCATCATTTCCCTGTTCGTCATTTCTTTTTTTTAATTCCTCGTCTCCCTTTTAATTCCACATCTACTTCTGTCTATCTCCATTTTCTCCTATTCCACCTTTCGTACGATTTCCCGATTACGTCGCCCGCCGATCGTTTGTCTTTTTTTCTTCTTTTTTTTCTTTTTTTTCTTTCTCTTTCTCTTTTTTTATCGTGCTTTGTTTGTAGATTTACGCCATTATGCGCTTTATTGCCCGTGACAACTTCCTCCCCGTGTTGATAAACGCGGCGGAGCTCTGGCCTTCGGGGCTCGCGTCGATTTTCTCTGTTGCGCTTCTCTTTTCTGCCTTTCTCGTTCTTCTCTCTATTCTCTCTTTTCTTTTATTTCTCTCTCTCTCTTTTTCTTTCTCTCTCTCTCTTTTCTTTTTATTTCTCTCTCTCTCTTTTTTCTTTCTCCTCTC